ACTTGTTTGGAAAGAATCCCTGGATCAACCAAGAGAGTGTAATCTATAAAAAATGTACTTTTGTGTTGAGAGTTACATGAATCATTATGGACTGACATTGGAAATTAGCTTTTAAGAACAAAAAACCAGAGGGGAAAAATGAACTCCAAGCAGCATGTAGTACAAAACCCAGGAATGTCACATTAGTTTCTTTAATGACAGGCAGCAGTTCATAGACTTACATGCCTATATTCTGGTGCCAGAGAGATGAAAATCCAAAATGACAACTTATCAGGAAAATGATATATTTCTAGTTTCCATTAAGATCATTAAAAGCCACATTCTCTCTTCATATATGCAAATGAATTTTCCATAGAAAGCCATGAGCAAGGGTAAGATTTGGCCTGTGTTCACTAAAAAACTACAAAGAAATACTAGTAGAAAGCTCTAGATACTTGATGGACCGCCCAGGCTGCATATTTGTACTACTGTGTCTCGTGGTTTGGTTATTTTAGGGTTAGTTAATGTTAGTGTAGGCAGCTAGTTAGTTACTAAGAAGAGAGAAGGGAGAAAGCTGGCTAAACTTGGCTAAGTCAGGAAGCTACAGCTTCCCAGACACCCTAGGCAACAGCCACACCCTCTGCCAGAGGGGCCAAAGGTACGTTAATCCCCAAATAGGCAGGAAAAACAGTCAATTTCCCCAGGGAACAACTGGCTCATTTGCCTGCATAAGGGAGGAAGGGGTGGTGGGTAAACGGGGATGGGGAGATTTCTCTTCTGAGGCATGTGAAGCAGAAGCCAAGACAGTGCAGGGGGAAGTCCTACTATGAAGCATGCACAGTAGGAGCCAGAATGGTGACCTTAAAAGGGAAGAGTCTAGTCGGGGAAAATCTGGGAAAATGACTGAATAGGACAAGAGCCAGAAACCTGGAAGATCAGGAGAGGGATTGGATAATTTGATAAAAGATGTCTGCTGTCTCTCAAGCCCACGGAAACGGAATCGAAGCTTCACGACGGCCTGGGTCTGGTGGGCTCTCTCTCCCTTTAGCAGCAGCAGTGCTGGCCAACGCATAGCACCGATTGCTGGCTGGACACCAACAGAGACTGTGCTGGACTACTGGAGCCTTGGATGCCGGGCTGATGGCACATCGGCTCTGGGCTCTGGCCTTCCTCCCAGGCTCAGTGGGCACAAGTGCGGGCCTGCAGGCTCAGAGGCTACATTTCTTTTGCAGCGAAATGGAGTTGAGCCACCAGGTTTGGATGAGACTTTAGGCACAGCATACCTGGGGGGCAGTCCTTTATTTTCACTCCAGTAAATCTTGCCACTGTACCTCAGATCCATGCGTGTATCCCTGAAATGCCTTTCCTGCAAAACATCGTGGAAGAATCCTTTTCCTCTGGCAACAATAGTACTAATGCAAAGGAAAATAGGGTGAAACTAAGGTGAATAATTTTGTCATATAGTAATTTCTGGTAAAAGATGAGATGGGATACAATCAATGGTAAAGCAGCATTTTGAGAGGTAGCCCCTCAAATTTCAGGTGGACTTCAAAGTTTTTCAGACAAAAACAAGGATGGAGCTGTCTATATTATGACATCTATATTATGACAATGACACAGTCTGGGGCAGGGTTAAGAGCCAGCCTTTGCAGGCAGAGTACTCGGTTACAACTCTGTACATGGCCATTAGCTGTGTGACCCTGGACAGTTTACTCAACCTCTCTATGATGTTTCTGCATCATAGAATTCATCTGAGTATTATATGAGCTCTCAAATGTGAAGAATTTGGTCGTACATAGTAAGTGCTATATAAATACCCACTAGTAATATTTTTCAAATCCTGGATAATATCTGTTGGGATCTCACAAATCTGTGATTTCTGTCAATAGGCTTTAATACTCAGCAGTGAAGCCATAGTGTTCCTTTGGGTTGAACTTTGCCGTAAAAATCACTCCCCCAAACCATGCACAAAATATGATGAAAATATAATCTATACCACACACCCCTTTCTTCCTTTTGATACTTAAAACTTGGTCTCTTAAAGTTCTGTGTACAGAGGAAATTTGACTTACTCAGTTTTTGTTCATTAGGAGTATGTTCTCCTTGAGGGCAGGAAGAATATTATAAGTTCTTGTACAAACTGGGAGCACCTCATAAATGTTAAACTAATCTCAAAACAGATGGAGCTTGCTGGATGGAAAGGCAGTGTATAAAGAAACCAGACTTTATTAAGGAAAGTCAGTCTATAAAAATAGAAAGCAGTTTTTCAAAAAAGAGATTAACTAAGTTCATTAAAAATAATGTCTACATTTTATAAAAACTGCTGCCAGTAACCGAGGGTTATGTCAAATATTTTGAAGAAAAACTAAAGAATAATATATTCTTCGGTTTCAGTATTTTGAAGTGGTAGAAAAACAAAAATCCCAAGTGCCATTATCCCTTAACCGACTTCTAGAACAGCAATGTCCAATAGAAATGTAATAGGAGCTATGCGATTTTGAATTTTCTGTTAGTTGTGTTGAAAAAAGTAAAAAGAAACTGGCGAGATTAATATTTTAAGTAGCATATTCTATTGAACTCAGTATATCCAAAATGTTTTCATTTGACATGTAATCATGAAAAATTGATCAATGAGATAGTTCACATTCATCTAGTAAGTCTTAAAAAACTCTGGTGTATTTTCACAATTACAACACATCTCAGCTTGGATCATCCATATTTCAAATGCTTCATAGCCTCATATAGTGAAAGCAACCAGATTACAGGACACAGTTTTATAACAAGCTGTACTTTTAGAAAGTGGCAGGATAGCATCTGTTGGCTTCTACAAAGGAGGTGCTTCAAGTCTCTACTTAAAGAGATTTTACTATGCCCTTTGGCTTTGGTGGCTTTGGTGTCATTGGTGCTGGACACATCCCCATTTCTATTGGTTAATTTACCTTTTAAGTGTGTACAGAGTACTTGTGTGCCTTTCTGACATTTTGCAGGGAGGTCTGTTCTCTTGAAACAAATGGAAATTGGCTTTGGAATTCATGTGCCTGACTCGACAGCTGCAGGGGCAGATTCAAGCGCACACACAAGGTGAAACAAAGCCACCTGGGATTCTTTTTTTTAATGTATACTAGGGGTGGAATGAGGAGATGCAGGAATGCCTTCTTACAGTGCCAGATGAGACAAACAGGTGGCACAAGGAAGGAACAAATAAAGGATGAAGGGAAGAGCAGCAGGTTAAGGCCTCAGGCAGAGCAAATACAAGGTTCAGCTGCTGCAGGTTCAAGCCTGAGGCAGGATAATAGAGCTGACCGTGGCAGAAAGGAAATCAGACCTGTCAACAGTGCAGTTCATCCATGAACGTGTGAGGGTAGAATACTGCAGCGAGGAATTCGGGCCTTTCAGCCTTCGCTGTTCAGACTCAGGATCCGTGAAAGCCAAGCCACCTCAGAAACCCGCTCAGACCCCTCCATTATTAACCAGATGAGATCTATGAACCTGATCTTGTGATAAGGATCACAAAGCTTCTATTGTTTAAATATTTCTTTTCTAACTTTGCACACCGAGGGATACAGGCAGCCGGCCCCGAAATACATCGTAACTAGGAAAAAATATGAAGAGAAATAAAAATGTTTCTAAAAATATTTCTCTGTGAGGGGCCCTCCATATAAATGAGGGAAAACCAATAACCTTCCTCTTCCACACAAATAAATCATCACAGAGCCAACCCCAGTGCCTTCTGAAATGAAGCCTGACACTAAAAAAATGCAAGTCCCTGACACATAGAAAATATGTGTGAAACTTAGCATAGCTCAGGGAGAAAAGCTTTTCTTTGTCTCCCGGTAAACTTACTTCCTGAACATCCACACACACTCGAGGGATACAGGAACACAACCTGCAGAGAAACTGATGCTGAGGTGCTTTTCAATGGGCAAGAAAGCCCTGGTGGGAAGGGCTGGTGAGAGCTGTGGGTCTTGCCTCCTCCCAGGAAGCCAACAATGTGCAGCTATACTGATGCTTTCGATTTGCCCTCACCAAATTTCATGGCCAACCAGTTCTTCAAAAGGCCCTGAGATAAAAGTATGCTTGGCCCGAAACTTAGAGAAATCACCTGGTCTCAAAGCAATGAGTAGTATTGAGTTTTGGGATGAGTCCAAAAATCCTACATGGAATAAGTTATGTTTTCATTTCTGGTTCTTTCTTTAAAAAAAGAAGAGAGAGAATCTGGCTAAGCCAGCTGACCTTCCTTCACTCCATTCTGCCTCCTTTCCTCTGAGCCCTTCCCTTGCAAGAATGGCCTCTGAAGTTTCTTTAATTTCACTCATGCACCCAGGAGAATAGGATTTCCCTCTTAGATGACTTCTCATAGCCACTGAAAACTGTAAACAGCCTTGTAGGAGAAGGGGCTTCTTTACCTACCTACACTGCAGGAATGGGTGAGTGGTGGTGACCTCCACGCGGAAGCCAGTCAGAGGAGGATGGAGAAAACTTGAACCGAAAACCCTCAGTGTGTCCCCAGAGAGGGAGGGGCCGATATGTGGCTGGCATCCATCTGGGGTGTCAGTGCCCAGTAATTGCCAGCCTGCTTTGCTCCCTAACTCTCCTCCCTTAGGGAAATTAGGGAGCTTCCCACACCCTTTCCTTAGAATCCTAATATTTTCGAGCAAGCCTGTAACTTTAGAGGTCAAGTCTCCATTTTAGAGGTAAGAGAACTGAGGTTCGAGTGATGTACATCGACTGGGATAAAGTCCCCTGATATTAGTTTTAGAACAAGGAAGAAGATCACAGGAGCCCAGTGTTTCCCAATGCCCCTTCTAAGAGCATAAAGAGGCTTCCAGGCCTCCACGGAGTTGTGGGTAGAGGTGGAGAGTTATGTCAAATAAGAGAGAAGGAAGATTAGATAGAAGCTAAAAAGACCCTGGGTGGAGAGGAGAATGGCCTGCAAAAATGTGCACACACTAATCTTGGAACCTATGAATTTGTTACTTTACTTGGCAAAGGGATTTACAAATGTGATTAAGGTTAAGGACCTTGAGATGAGATCATCCTGGATTACAGAGGTGGGTTCAGTCTGATCCTGGTAGTCTTTCCAAACAGAGAACCTTCTCAGGCTGCACCTGAGTACAGAAAAGTTGGCATGATGGATAGGTCCGACTCCATTGGCTTTGAAAATGAAGGAAGGGAGCAGCTTCTAGAAGATGGAAAAGGCAAGAAGATAAACCTTCTCTGGTGCCTCCAGAAGGAACACTGGCCGTTCAGTCCTTGATGGTAGCCCAGGGAGTCTAAGGCTGAAGTTCCGTTCTACAAGGCTGTAAGAATCAGGACCCAGAAACATCAAAAGAGTATGAGACATTAGGACATCTCTTCCTGAAGGAGTTACTGGAATTCTCAGAAAAGTGACTAATCCCCCCGAGAGATGGGTCATGATTCTGGAACACAGGTTGGGAGCAAAACACATGTCCATTTGGAGAAACAGCACCAACATGTTATTGTCTTGGAAATGTGATGAGCAAGATGCATTACCAAAAGTAATTAGAACAACATGAAGGAAACAATTTCCCTAGTTAATTTATTCCAAGCAAAGAGAAAATCTCAGAACTGAATTTAGTGTTGGAACATTTTAAGTTGGTTTGCCTTTCTTGAATGGGAGCTAATTTGTAGTTTGGATTATCCTGAAAGTTCTTTTTGTCATCAGTGACTTAAAAATACTGCTACTGGGCAAATACAATCAATGATCTCTACATTGCAGGCTGAGTAATTACATAATAATGATTTGCATTAATGAAAAGACAAGTGGGTCCGGATCCAGATGTGCCAGTGACCACAGTTCTCCGAGACGTCTAAGCAGATTGCTGAGGCCAGAGAAATCTCAGCAGTGGTTGGGAGACAAAACGACTGGTTGAAAAGTCTTTCCTAATCAGCATCACTTAATGGCTCTTTAATGACTGACTCATCATTTTTCTCCAAGTAAAAATACATTTAAATTTCAAAATAAAGCAAATTTTACTTATATCTGTGGCACAGGAGCAGATGTTTCCCTGACATGTGCACGCAAGCTGTTGAGTGTGACCTTGCAGGATAAAGCAGTTTTGAAAATGAGCTTTTGTCTCCCAATCTGGGGAAAACAATGCTGTAGTGAAGATTTAATAAAAAGTCATAGCTTCTCATAGAAGCTTATTTCAGCAAAGTAAACTATTAATTAAAATAACAAATGTCAGCTGTTTCCCAGGCTGACAGTTAACACAACGCAGCATTTGCTTACCTTGACATACAGGGTGCATGGGACACTGGATGGATCCATAATTCATTCTAGGTATGGCTCTCTCATGCCCTAATATAGTGATAACAGAGTGATAAATTAGCTCCTGTTCAGCAGTTTTGTTAGCAAAAGTACTTGGGGACTTGGGGAAAAGCCACCTAGAGAGGGTCTTTTGGCAGACTGAAGGAATACACACTTGAACAGCTTGAGTGAAAGTTTCATGGAATTCCTGGAAAACTTGAGTACCAAGAAAAACAGGTGGTGAAAATGTAAAACTAGGTGAGAGAAAGAGGAAGAGAGACAGCATGCCAGTGCATTACAATCTGCTTTTAGCCACAGAGGGGAAAAATTATTAAGTAGAGGAAGGACCAGATCACTCCCAAGAGGGCAGGGGAAAGAGAGGCTAGGGAAAAGAGTCCAATTTCAGAGCCAGAACTGGGAGTAGAGGCTGGAAAGGAAGGGCAATCCACAAACACCTTCGGCTGTAATTGGGTTTGGGGGAAGGGCAGGTGGGGCCTGAGCACACCATGGGGCAAACTGGCTCTAAGCAGATTCCTGATATGATACAAAGGTGAGAGAAATAAATATAAAAAGTGACACCAAGTCTATGAGTCATATTGGTGCAGTCTGTTTTAGGACTTTTCTATTCAGACAGCTCAGTAATACGTTTATTAGAAAATGATAAAGGGAAGAAAAGCCCATTTTGTTAGGGCACATTGTAAAATTCAGTATGGGAAGCCTGACAAGGTGAGGAGTGGAAAGGAAAAGGTGAGATGGAGGAAATGTCTGGGTGAAGCGGATTAGGGGGCGGAAGGGATGGGGGTTGAGGGCCTGTTGGGTGCTGTTCGGAAAAAAAGTTTACTATCAAGATGGGAAATGCACACCTCTTCGAGTGAACATCGTTCTGCTACTTCCCTCAGTGTTACAGAAGGCACAACAAAAGCATCTATTCCACAGTTCAGGTATTCTGCGTTTTTAAAAGAAAAGAGAAATACTAAAGAGCAACCATTTAAATTAGGAGCTGGGTGCATGAGGTACCAGCTATTCATTTTCTTCTATAAAACCCATGATGGGCCAATGGGGTTTTTTCTTTTGTGTGTTTTGTTTTGTTTCCTTGCCTTTTTCATTTCTAGGACTGTTTTAATGTTACGGTGGGGGAATCTACATTTTGTAATTCGCTTATTATCATTTCTACCAGCGTTAAAACTTAGTGCATCACTGAGTACGATCCAGTTCACTAGTTCAAAATGAACCAATAACAATTAGAGTTTTGAGCAACGCTTGTGCATTCTTCCTGTTCCCCATTATTCTCTGTTTCCTCATTGGCTAGGGGACTTGAGCTGAGATATGGCTGTAGATGAAAGGTATTTTAGCATTCATAAAAATGAAGAACCTCAGAGGCATATAAATAAGTCTTCTGGTCATGGACATGGGCTTCAATCAAGCTAAAAGTCTGCCCCAGATTGACAACCAAAATCAATGTGCAAGGCAGAAAGGAGGGTGAGCCAGTATGGATGAAATTCTTTTTGAGTCTTTATTAAAAATACAAAGCAAGCAGAATCTTTTAAAAAATGGTCAGAGAGGGTCAGCAACCTTCAACCCAGAAATTTCTCATTGGGAGCCAAAATACTTAGGTACCAGGTCTTCGTGAGTGTGATAGAGCTGGGCCACGAGTGGAAGCAACGGGAGATTTGCTCCCTCAAAGGAAGCCTGTGCCAGGCACTGAGTACCTGCAGGGTCTGTGGGCCACCTGCTAGGCTTGAGGGCCACCTGCCAGGCTTGAGGGCCCCAAGCAGTGAGACCAACTTTTGCATCCAGTGTAAATTTGGTGTGGGCCTCACGCCCATCTCCAAGATGATCCTATCAACTCACACCCCACTGTAAGCATTCCTTTCCCTGCACAGCCCGCATTTTCTCACTTTCACACTGCACATGGAAGTTTTAGGTAAATTGGGTCTGCACAGTGTTATCTCAAACTCCCGGAGCACCACAGAGAATCCTCATTCTCATATGAGTCCATGAAAAGCAGCCTAAATCAAGGGCAGCCAGTCCTGGATGATTGCTGCTTTCTCCTTTTTTCTGTTTCCCTGCAAATGCTTCTGTGGCACTAAGTTGGACCACTTGATGGGCAATTTGCTTCTGTGCTGTGCTGCCATTAGCACTTGGCTCCAAGGGGCTGCTTCTCCCTCAAGGGCTTTTCTACTAGAGTTCAAGTCTATGGCAGAGTGCTGGCTCCAACCCTGAGCTTAATGCTCCTGTAAGGTATGCAACAAGAAGAAAAAAAAAAGGTGAAATGCCATTAGAAAACTAGGACATGGCTATCTTAGTACGGAATTTATTTAGGGAGGAAAATGGAATTCTGTCACTGTTGCAGTTTGTGGATGCTTTACCTCTGTGTAATGGCCGAGAAATTAATGTGATTTAATAGCTACAACAATAAATACAGATATGACAGGGTGATTATCCCATAAGACTAAAATTATGATATAGCATAAATCAATACCCACCCTAAGTATATCTCCGAAAGGCGTGGTATATATTTCTACATTCACTGCTAGGTGTTGAACTAATTTGGGAGTTAGAAGCTGTGTGAAATGCAAAAGCTATTTTTCTAAGTGAAAAATTACAGAATATGTATGACAATCACTCAGAATACCTATTGCTCATAAAACGAGTAGAAGGAAAGGAGAATAGTAGAACTTTTAAAGCTAGTTCAAGTACAAGTGTCTCTGCTCCTTGGGGCATGCTTCTTTTCACTCCAAACCAATCCAGCTCAGCTACCCCCCCCCCCCATTATGCTGCTTCTGCCCCACCTGTAGACCGTAGGCCCCTCCTAGAGACCCTTCTTTACAGGGACGAGCCCTTTCAGCCTCCTCCACTAAAGCAAGCCAATTGATTTGCCTGCTTGAGAGACCTCCGCCTAGTGCAAAGCCCTCTTAGAGTCTCTCTGGCTGGAGTTGAGTCATTCAGAAAAAGAGGGTATTGATCAGGAGCAATCTGGCCTGGGTCTGTGGAGCTTTCCCTGGGGACAGAGGCACTCCTCCATTGTGGAGGTCAATATTAGTGACTCTTAGCTGTCTTCTGAGGTAATCCCATTAGAGCTAGTTTTTTGTTTGCTTTTTTTTTTCTGGAAGCCTGTTTCTGTGCATTTCAACCACCCCCAACCTCCAGGGAATCAGGTGGGAGCTTATTTGGAGGCAAACTGCTCCTCAGTCCTGTCAGTCCTGTTCAGAGGGACGTTTGGGACTCTCCCACGCCTGGCTGCCAGGGCTCCGCCTTCGCCTCACTGGTGGGGACCAGACCCCTCCCAACCTCCAGAGCAGATCCTGCTTAGTGAAGAGGGCCCTAAAAAAACTATTTAAAGCCTTAATATATGAAGTGCCTTCTCTCAGGGCTGAGTTCACCACTGCCAGATAAGTGTTGCCTTAACTACATTTTTGTGAAGTAGCTACAGTGGCACTTGATAGCTGATTATGTTAATCCTTCAGGGATATTCAAGAAAATATCTGCAGAGTCTACCTGTAGGAGAGTAATCAGGATTGGATCCGGGTATCAACCACCAGACAGGCCTTCCAACTTACACGTTCACGGTGTGTCACACATTGTATTTTGACTTCTCAATATTGTACGTTTTCCCCCTTTGCTCCCCCTCCCACAGTGCACACAAAGATTTCCTTAGTCACAAAGGATTAAATAACTCACCTATGAAGAATCCTTTTAAAGCATCAGTGCCAGTCTTGAAAATTGCCTCCCTCCTTTTTCCTTTTTAACAGAACAAAGAAAACTGTTAATCTTTTGATAATTGACTCTATTTTTACTGGAAACTTCTCTTGTAATTATTTAATACATCTCCAGTTGATTTCAGACAGTGTCTGTTTTCAGCACACATCTCTGACCAGAGACATGTTGTCCAAGCAGACGACGGACCAGGGAAGGTGAGTTTGGCGGAAATCAAACCCTAATGCAATAATGAATGCAATGCGGCCCACGCACACTGTTTGAAAATGAAATTGGCATTACTTATCTAGACAAAGAGACAAATGTCCTTGCAGCTTCATTCACCATGAGGAGCTCTTACAGGACGTCTGTCTGCAAAGGGACAGGGGACTTCCTACTCTGATGGGCGTATCAGTAGAGATTTAATTTGTCTTCCTGTAAATGCAGGCGAGCTCCACTTTGATGTCTTTAATTCCACAGGCACTGGTGGCTTGTATTTAGCCTGAGAAATAACATTACGTGAGCTTATTTGATGGCCCCAGACAGGGTTAACCAAGCTCCGGGCGGACCCGGTAAAGTGCCACTACCTGGTCTTTCTGGAACCTCTCTCACCCTCCACCCCTCTTACCCCTGCCCCTCACCCCAAGCCCCCCCCCCCCCCCCCCCGCTGCCACCTCACCTGCCTTTTTTTCTTTTCAGAAACGTAGAGAATTTAACAGAGTACACTACTCCCTTCATTATTTACGCTAATGCTATCGATTCAGTCAGTGCTGTGAAAATCTGTATTAACGCATGGGTTAAATGGAAAAAAATATTTATTGAATGCTTTTGTTTACTCACCTCCTGCTCCTGACCCTGGGAAACACACAGGGGCCGTGGAGGCCCCAGCCGGCTCTGTCTGGCTCCTTCCTGGGTTAATCACGTTTCACACGTCCCCACTTCTGTCAGACGCAGCACCTGACCTCCCCTTTGTCCCTCTCTGGATGAAAGTGTGAGGCTCCGTAATTTCCCTCAGGCACAAGGACAGTTTGCTTTACTGCTGGAGGTGAAACTGACACCCCGAGAAATCACAGCTGGGGCTTTTTATCTACCCTTCAGCCAGTCCCCAGCGCTGATCTCTTTCACTTTGCATGAAAATAAAGGCTGAGGCTGGAGCTGCAAAACTGGGTTCTTCGGCAAAAGTTGGGAACAGAAGCGGGGGTGGAAAGAACCTTGGGGGCTTGGTTCCCAGTGTAGGGAGTGCAGCGGCTCAACGGAAAGGAGGTGGCGAGTGCTCCCGACTGGGGCCGCGTTGTGAGGCTGAACAGGGGCAGCAAATGAAACGTGCTTCGCAGGAGTGAAAGTGTTGGCACAGCTGTGAGAACTTTAGAAACTCCTTAAGGGTAAGAGGCAGAAGGGACAGGTCTGTGGCAAGAACTTGCAGAGCACGAACGGTCATGAGCTCACTTAACAAGGGTACTCACTGCACACCCTGGACAGCTCGGGATTTTTCCCGGACACATTTCTCTCCCTTCTCTTCTCACTGTTTTAAAAACTCAATAGTAGCTGGCCGACCCTTGCTCTCCATGGGTTGGCCCGCTGCAAAGTCAGAAGCCCGTTCTCTGTGGGACTGAAGTCAGCAGATCCATTAAGTTGACTAATGGGGATGGAAGGATCTGTGGCCAGGGTGACATTTATATTTGGATATCCTGTTTTTCCTGGTGGGCCTCTGGGTTGCTTGGTAAATGTTCTGGGAGCCGGGGCTGCGAAGCACCTCCCTGGGAGGGTGGCAGAAGTGAGAGGTGAACTATGGCAGGGAATGAGTCCAAGTGGCAGCTTTGCAGTGGAGACTGTGCCCAGTGGCAGCCGCTCGCAGTTCTCCTGGCAGTGGAAAGCCATGTCCTAAGGTATTCTGCCGACATCCACCAGAGCAGCTGGCGCCTGGTGGAAGGCAGATGGTGTTGGATCCCCCAAGTGTTGCTGTCTAGCAAGATGCCATGTCCACTGATTAAAAATAATTAAACATTCCTTCCTCCAGTGAAGGAGAATGGCACGCACACCACGCGGGGAGGTTGACAATGGTATTACTCAGCAAGACATGCATGGTAGCAGCAGTGAGTGCCCAGGGTAGCAGGTGCGCCTGGTTTGGAGAAGGTGGAGTGGGAGTGGAGCGCTTGGTTGAGCAGTAACAGCAGGAAGAGTTTAGTGAGGATGCATATGTATGAGGGACGTGTGAATGGGACCATATTGGATGAATTTCTACCCCTCGGTCTAGTTTATGGAGAAGATTTTCTAATTTCTGAATGAAAATAGCAAGTTTAATGTTCATGAACTAATCAGTATGCCTGATCACCTGCGGTGTGTGTGTGTGTGTGTGTATAACCAGACGGGGGGCTGTAGTCGGAATATATGAGTATTAATGGACGATCGTGTCCATGTCTTTATTGTCCTGACTTACAGCTGAATTACCCACTTTGTTTCTTCATCCCTGTGTTGTTTCTTCTGCAATAAGAGATTCCTGGAAAGTCTGACAAATGGTGAACATACTAACACCCCTCAGTTATACTGTCGCGTTTAATGGTTCAGTTGCATCACCATAAATGAGACTGTTTCCAGATCCACCCAGGCTCTCATATCCCTGTCCTGCTGCCTTCCCCACACCTCATTCCCACCCCCGTCACAGGCCCCTTCCCGTTCACAGGCAAGTTCCTAAATGTTGTCAGGAACCTACAGGCCATTGCACTGCATATTTCTCAATTATTTCAATTTGTAAATGGATAACCTGTTATCCCCAATTTTTAAAACATAGAAAAGATTTTCATTTGGATTTAATAAATTTGATTTCCAGCCAATGGAAATGTCCAAATTTCCTGTAAACTCCAAAAGGAGGTTTCCTCTCCCTCCTACCTGTATTTGAGGTGATCAGCACTTGTTTGACAACTCTCTGTCGTGTGAGTGCTCTGTGGCACTTCTGTGTGAGAGCAGTGTTGCAAGAACAATGTGACATGCATATGAACAAAAAGTAAGTTCTTGTAAATCCAGTATCACCCTCCAAGGGGGAAGTTGAGGAATTTTGCAGTGAAGGAATGATTACGATATAACAGTATTACTTAGGAAAGTGAGGAATAAGCTGTCCCTTGAAATCTGGGGTTGCACACATATTTGTGGTAAAGAATAGTCGAGTTTTCCAAGAATGGAAGAAAGATTTCAGCAACGGCATGAAGAAGTGGGTGAAGCAGAAGTTTGACTTGGCTAACGAAGAGAACCCACATTTGTTAGAAGGAGACCAGCAAGAGAATACTTCTCTGAATGCTACCCAAATAAGGACAACTGTTTACATTTTACAGTGCCCTGTAAAGAATGAATGAGAGATATGGGAACATTGAAATCTCAGAATTCTCTTGAGGTGGACTCTGTATTTGGCCCTTTGACTATACACTCAAAATGGTTGCCTAGCTTGATTGTTAAATCCCAGAGACTTGGAAAACTAAAACTTACAGTTCCCCAAATCCTTCAATAGCTAAGGTTTTACAAAGTATCTTACTACTCCCAAACAGACACCCTGTGGTGAGACCTGGAAGTGAGATGAGCTCCATGAAGCAACAGACACCAGAGGGGAGACCCCATCATCAGAGAGCCCAAGGACAGAAGCATCTGGTCCTTGGGGAAGCCAGTGCAGGATTTCTAGAGTTCGCACCAAGTGGCGCCAAGTGGCAGGTTTGGCAGCAGTGGTGACTCTCTGGAATAGTCCTCGGTGATTGGATAATTTTCCAAGGCATTCTGATCCTGATGATAAATCACCCAAGCATGGTTTTCTGGTTCTACCTGAGATTTTGAAAGCTATATAATTTTCACTAAAACTTTTTTTTTAAACCTTAAATTAGGTAGATCTTGTTACCCACTAATAAGAACACTGGCTACTGTGGTTTCCTTATGAGGGTTCCTTCCAGGTTTCCAGCTAAATGAGAAGAGAGTAAGGTATAAATAGGTGCCAGTGTGACATCATACCCCACCTTGGACATAGCTGATTGGACCAGCAGAGGGCTCCTAAGCCAAAGAGCAAACTGACTAATTGACTATTAGCCTAAGGGGTGGACTTAAAAGAGACATGTGCCAAATAGGGCCAATAATTGCAAATTGAACCACCGGATCTTCTTTATCAAGAGTTTGAACTGCCAATATGGAAAAAGTCAGTTGAGAGACAAGAAAGAAAAAATATGCAAGACTTACAGAAAAAAAAGAGGCAGATGTAAGGCCAGTAAGGCAGTAGTAGCCGTGTGTGACAAGAAAACAAAAGCACATACAGAATACGGTGTTCTTTGGTCAATAGCAGCAGAATTAGTAAACGAACATTAATGAATTTGAGGAGATTCAACATAAAGCCTACTTACCCAACTTCCATTCTAGATGACTCTGTGTCACCCGTAGGTAGAGACATGCTCCAGGAAGCAGGGCTGGTCCATTCTTTTTTCAGAGAGAGTCACAAAATCGTACCAGGGATCCCATCTGCAGGCTTGCAGGTAATTCATGGGGTCACTGGTATGAAGGTCTCATGATAGTAACCACTAGTACTATTTGCCAAACCAACCAGACTGGTTTATTTGGTTTTGCATTGGCATGTCAATAATGAGAGGAGAATAGAACAGACATGAAGAAAAAGCAGATTTGTGAGAAAGAGAACAAGCAAAGTAGATTCCTAAGCCGCTTCACTTTGACAAGGCTTTTCCATCCCAGCCCACATATATCTCTCGGGCAGACAGTCCCTCTGTGCCCCTTTGCCGAAGGTGGTGTGAGGGAGCCTGTTCTCCCTGCCGAGAAGGAGGCCTGAAGAGATGACCCTATTTGTAGAGTGGAGCTGGATGCTCAGTAACCAGCCAGTCTCCAAATGTGCCTGGCTCAGCAAGAACAGCCCCACGTGGTTTCTCTTCCGACAAACTGCTTGTTCAACTTTCTACGTTTGTTATGTATGTACGTATTTATTTAGGCACCTGGATACCCTTTGAGATTCCTGCCCTCCTATCATGAAGATACGCAAGGTTCTGTTCCCACCTCACCCACAGCACTTCAGATACCTCGAGCTTTTGCTTCTGGCATCTTCATGAGCTCTGGTAATACAGTACATTCAACTTAAAAAGGAAGGAGACTACCGTTCCTCTGCTTGCTTGCTTGGAAATTTCAAAAGTAGAAAGAACAAAGAAAAACATCCTTGACATGAATTTAGAAAAATCAGCAATGACTTGATTTTAGTTCTTTAACATTTAACGTCAAGTAAGTAATTCTTGGAAACAAAATACTGCCCAACTGATACGTGGGTTGCTATTTAAATAACCCTTTAAATGGTCATTTGATTACCATGTCTACTGAGTGAGATCTCACAACTGACATTATTGTCAATAGAAGCCACATGGCAGATCTTGACACGAGAGTGGTAATATACCCTTAAATTAAATTATTTTGTCAAACCAGTTTTAGTAAGTGTTTTTTGAAGCCTCATTATTATTATTATGAGATACTAATTTACACATATATGATGCATTCTGACTTAGTGTTCTGTGAACATTATGGGTCAGAATCCTCTCACCCACCTGGAGACAAGCACAGCAGCTATTCCATGGTGCTTGGCGATGTCTTGCGCCTGGCAAGGAGCAGAGAAAATGGCTGTAAATATGCCACTTACATCTGAGGGGTGGAACCTTCTTTCAAAATGGAGTTTGATGTCGACAGGTGGGTTCAGCTGTTTGGAGGACTGTGCTACTTTGCCCCCACCTATCATTCAGTCATCCTGGCCTGGTCGATGCAGAAAGACACCCATCAGGGCCTTGCAATTTGGGCTGATCATTAGAGTCTCCTGGGAACTTCAAAAAATACCTATGCTCAGGTCTTCCCCCGACCAATGGACACTGTTGCTGCAGGTGAGGTGTGGGCTGGAGTGTTTTAAAGCTTCACAGATCACTGTAATGGACAACTGAATTTGAGACCCACCAGCCTCCAGCACTGATTTGCAAATTTTGGCTTTCATTAGAACCACTGAGGAAAACTCTAGCCCTAACCATAGGGT